TCCCCTCCGGCCCCCGCCTCTTCCCCTCCGGCCCCCGCCTCTTCCCCTCCGGCCTCCGCCTCTTCCCCTCCGGCCCCCGCCTCTTCCCCTCCGGCCCCCGCCTCTTCCCCTCCGGCCCCCGCCTCTTCCCCTCCGGCCCCGGCCTCTTCCCCTCCGGCCCCGGCCTCTTCCCCTCCGGCCCCGGCCTCTTCCCCTCCGGCCCCGGCCTCTTCCCCTCCGGCCCCGGCCTCTTCCCCTCCGGCCCCGGCCTCTTCCCCTCCGGCCCCGGCCTCTTCCCCTCCGGCCCCGGCCTCTTCCCCTCCGGCCCCCGCCTCTTCCCCTCTGGCCCCCGCCTCTTCCCCTCTGGCCACTGGCTCTTTCTCATTCATGGCCACCTCTGACATCTGCAGCCTCAGCTGAGCCTCTTCACCCTCGTCACTGATCTCAGCTCTCTGTCCCGCTTCACCATTTCCCACCTCCACACTTTCTTGCACAACTGAATCTTTACTTGTTTCAGCCTCCTCCTCGTCTCCAGCTAACGCTGGGCGTCTCTCGCCAGCACTTACATTACCCGCAGCTTTGGTCACCTTTTCCGGCTCATTAACATCCTCACTCTTGCCACGGTCGTGTTTCCCGCTGTCGTTCGGTTCCCCCTGTACAACCTCGCTCACTCTCTTCTCCTTCAGTTCTTCCTTCTCTTCAGCCTCCACTACAACGTCTCTGTGGTGAAAATCAGGTTGAGTAGCCTTTATCTCCCCTTCATCCAGAACAGTCTCCTTCACTGTTTTCTCCAGAGTCTCTTGTTTGTCTGTACAACGAGGTTCCTCCCCCTCTGGGTCGGTCCTCACCTGACCCTCATCCTCTCCAGGGCTCTTAACCTCACCTTTGATCCCAGACTCATCCTCTTCCATGGTTGTGGTCTCAGCCTTGATCTCGCTCACATCCTGCCTCTTGGTCTCTGCCTCACCCACTCCAGATCCTTTAGCTGCACTTTCAATGATGGTCTCATTCTGGCTGCCCTGTACAAAGCCAGGCTCCACACTGCCTCCCAGCCTGGACATCTCCTGGGTCTCATCGGATTTCTCCTGGGAACCAGTTTCTTTGTTTTGTGCGGGCATCAATTTGTCATCGTCTGCTGCCCTTCGCACTCTTCCCGCCTCCACCTCCTGTTCCGGGTCAGCACGTCCAGTGTCCTCTTCATTCTGACCAATCCTCTGTTTGACTGCTGAGGTCTCTGTCTCTTGTTCTCTGTGCAAACTATTCTCGATCTTATTGCCCTGATCCCCATGAGTGGCTGATTTCACCTCTTCTGCTATTAGCTCAATGTCAATCCTCTCTCTCACTAATGTCTGTGTGATGTCTTTCTCCTCTAACTGATCTTGTTCTCTCTCTTCTCTGTTCCCCACGTTCTCAGATACATCCTGCAACTGATTACCTATCGAGCCTGTCGTCTCCTGACATGACCCAGGCTGTTCGCTTTGACCTTGTTCTACCATGTTTACCTCCACACTTCCCAGATCTACATTTTCATAAAGATTTCCTGGATGTTTTTCAGCATCTAGGCATGCGGAGCTCAACTCTGCGTTATCTGAAGCCACATGACTGATGCTGGACTGCTCATTCATAATCTCATCCCCTCTATCCCCCTTGTCACAAACTAATTCGCAAGCCTCTTCCCACATTGCATCTGAGGGGTCACCTTGCATTTGGTCGACAGTCTCCTCTTCAGTAACCTCTACCTTTGGGAACTCTTCCTGCACATTACTGAAGCCCATCTCCCGCTCCACAATTTCTACCGCCCGCTTTATAATGATATCTACTATTTGCTTGCTTTCCTCTTCCAATGTTCTCTTATTTCCATCTTCATCGCTTTCAACATCTTCACCCAACTCACCCTCTGCCTCTGGGGCTATTGATTTGCCGTCTCCATCGCGCCCAACATTCTCACCCAACTCATCCTCTACCCCTGGGGCTACTGCCTCTGCCATCTCGCAATCGGTACCTCCAAAGTGCACTCCATCAAACTGATCCGCCCTTGTGTGAATATCACTAAGGCTTCCCCTCCCTTGAGCCTGACTATCATTCACTTCAATTGCTCTCTGACTTTCCTCTGCTTTAGCAGAGATCTGCACTCCTGCATCAATGTCTACGTCGTCCGCAACCTTTACCACCTGAGACACCTCTTTTTCTTCACTGATTCCAACGCCAAAGGCATTTTGCTCTCCATCAAGATTTTCTGCGGCTTTGCTTCCTATCTGGTCCACGTTTCCATTATCTGCAGCACTGACTGTTGGTTTCTCAGTGCCAATCATGTCCTCACATTGCTTTTCGTGTCCGCCAGTCTGCTTTTCCTTTCCTTCCACATTATCCATTATCACCTCCTCATCCCCAGTCTTCTCCATCTGTTCAGCATCATTTCCAGCATTCTGGAAGACTCCTTTCCTCCCAACATTCTCCAAAATCTCATTTCTCATCTCCATTTCCTGGGTTTTGCCTAAAAGGACCATTGGAAGAGGTAAAGACACCACACCCATTCAGTGCAAATTAACCCTTTGAGTTCTGAATTTCCAATGTGGCTTTTGACTGTGAATTTTCTTATTTGTACTTTTTCTTCTTTCCCTTCCCTCCTCCACCTTCTCTCCTGAAGGTGCTTAATCGTTCCCTGGGTATAGCTCTATGTAGGGGTGGGGGGGGTGGAAACGATGCCCTCCTCTCTCCAGTTCCCCATTATTGGAGATTATTGGAACGTTGAGGACAATTAACTGAGCCCGCTGATCCTGTCCTCACCCCCCACGCTTACTCCCACGCACATACACTGGAAAGTGATTAGCAGTGGGGACCCCTGGCTGCCGGCTTCCCAAACCCGGCTAATGCCAGCCTCTCACCAGTAGCAGCAGCAATTGGGAACATGTGTGTGGGTGGGGGGGGTAAATGCGCCCCCTGGTGGCCTTTAGGTATATGCACAGCCTTTACCACCCGCTCTCTTCCCGTTGCTCCTTGCGTTGCCTCGTACAAGCTCATGAGAGGCAGCACGGAGAGCAATGGGATAGAGAGTTAGAGCGGGAGGTATGAGGCAGGGGAAGAGCAAGGAGAAGGTGGCACTAATATCTCTCTGTTCCCCCGCCCCTCCCCCTCTTCTCCCCGGTTACACTGGTCCCCACTGCAGACTAGGTATCAAACCTGGACCCTGCTGCGTGGCCTCACTTGCTCCCTGAGCCGAGAGATTGTGTATATGTAAAATAGGATGAAAAGAAACACAATCTCCCTCACTCCATATACCTCCCATTCGAAGAACCCGTCAAAATAAGAAAAAATGCTACGCAGTCCTTGAAGGGTTAATGCCACGATCATAAAGTGGTAAATTTTGGGGGTAGAAGAAAGCCATTAACCACAGAGAATCAATCATGTAGTTGGGGATCTACGATTTCCTCAATTACTGAGTGTGCCAGGCTTGACTTAACCCTTTCCCTCTCAAGGTGGTCGAAAATTACCATATTGCAAAGGTATTTTGTGAGCGGGTGGTGGAGGTGGTGGGAGAGGTGGAAAAGGAGGCTTGTGAGCGTGAGAGAGAGAGAGAGAGAGCTCTTTGGTTCCTGTCCTTCAATTTTTTTCCTCCAGTAAAATTGAAAATTTTGGAGTCGTGCCAGGAGGTGGCAACATTGTTCCACATTTGAGTTTGACATCTCCCCGGGGTGGGTGAAGGGTTAAGAAAAAGCAATCATGACAGGGCTATTTTTAGAAGGGATTACTCCGTCATCGTCCCCCCTCAAATAACCCAGAAATATTTATACGTCAACATGAAAGTAACAATTAATATACTCGTCACTGCCGAGGCAGAATTGAACGAGCAGATTGCCAGTGTCAACTCTGCAAAGCATCTGTATTACATAAGTTACAATTTCCTTCCAGAAGTCTGGAACAAAGAGAGAGCAAACACAGAAAATCCAGAGAAAAGTCAGGAGAGAGAGGTAAAGTGTGCTGAACGATTAAGCGGACATAGAGGACAGCATCTCTGGGTATAATCGATTCCCCTGACCTAAAAGACCAGCTCCTCACCTGAGCCCTGAAATTCCACCCGGTCCACCCACTTTCATTCAAATGCAGGACCACAGTGAATTGTGGAAAACTGTTAAATTCAGTCTTAATTTTGAAGTCAATTCCTCAAGCAAAAACCTGGCTAGTGAATTTAAGCATTTTTGCCCCAAAAATAGTCAAAATCTACTTTACAGTATATTCTGTAAAGTGCTTTGTGACTCCCAACGACGTGATAAGATGCTCTATCATATGCAAAGATTATTATTAATCAACATAAATGTAACAATTTTTCATCATTCCCACTAAATTTTTTAAGACAAAACGGTCTCACAGACTAAGATCTGGTGGAATTTCAAGCCTCTGGATTAAGATGATGGACGGACAGAGTCTCTTTTTAGGATCTTGTCCAGAAGTCCAGGACAAGCAGTCTTCGTTTTTGAGGAAACGTCCTGCTTACCAAACGGGCGATGCCTTAAAACACTCCCCTGTCATTCACTCCTCCTCCCTTCTCACCCCCACTGCAAGGTATGAGAGCACATTTGATCCAAATCACGATTTTGCCTAACACCTTTGGGTAGAATAGACTTCTTCTATCTGCCACCCAAATATAATGAGCGCAAAACCTCCTCTTCCCCACCTCCCATCACCCAGGCCCTCCACAATCAGAGAGAAAGTAACCATCTGAGAGATCACTAACTGCGTTGTTCCATCAGTTCTATAATCGGAGCCTTGGTGCGAAGTCAGATACATGGACAAATCCATAATAAAGTGATGAGAGTGGAGCAAATGTATACTGGTGGCTGACTGGACCATTCCCAATAAGACTCAAGATCCTGAGAAATCTTTTCCCCCGACCCTCCTCCCCCCAAAACCGGGTCCACTAGACACTGATATTTGGGATGAATGAGGGCAAACGGTTAACACAGAGACTGATAAGCCAAAAGCGAGCAGAGTGCAAGAAGTTATTTCAGCTGAGGTTCACTTACCTAATGGTCCGTCGGGGCAGTTCGGGAGCTGGGGCGCGGCGTCCCGAGATGCCACCTCCGCGGGGTCTGTGTGTGAGTCACCTTCCCTCCCCCCATCCCCATTTAACACTTCGGATACCACCAGCCCATGGGCCTGCAAGTACACAGCAGATACACATGGTAACAGGACGCAAGTCACTGGCAGGTCCAAATCACACAAGCGCCATCTTTCCCAATCCACTGGACCCAATTCATTCCCAATTATAGCACTAAAATATGGCCTTGTGTTTAAAGACTCCCTAACTGTGCCGTAATAAAGGGGTTGGACTGCACTGAATTTACCTTTTAATTGAACCAAAATAAGTGAACTCGACAATGCTTCTAACTCGATGTGACAATAATTAACCACATCCTGACAGTGCAATCTTCACTATCCTTTTATCCTCCTTAGGGGGCGTGGCAGGGGAGGTAGGCGGGGTCTCCTTGGAACTGGGATTGGGAATGGAATGTCGGAATTGAGCCAGCCCTCTGTGGAGGTCTCGGTAGACCGGTTCCTTAGCCAGGCGGATCCACAGTATTCCAGGGCACTGCTGGTAACAGCACATCAGCAGGACTTGGAAGGGCAGACCAGTCACTGGGGGAAGGGAATCCTCCCACTCTACTCCTGTTAACGTTGCAAGCCCAAACCCTAACGGGTAGGGTGGAGAAGCAGCGGGAAAGCTTGCCAGACAGTAAACTTTTTGGCTACATTATGCCCGGCTCCCCATGACAGAGCCACTTTGCCCTAACCTCCCCGCACCCACCCCCGATGCTCGTACTCACACACACGCACACCAACTCCATGCCCACAAGTTACATTTAGGTTGGTTTTAAGATTGACTCAGAGCTGGCAGGGAAGGGAGAAGATTCAGAAGAATACTTTCAGTCATGCGAGGAGGCAGGACAAGAGAATTACAGGTTCAGGATTGTGAAGGGAAAGTTTAGGACAGATACCAGGAAATATTTCTTGTCACAGAGGGAAATCGGCCACCAACGAGGGAGGTTAAAGTCAGCACATTGGACTCAATTCAGAAACACTGTGATGCTGTGATGCGAAGACAATAACAACAATTTGCACCCTTTATGCTGGAGAACTTAACAGTGGCGGAGCCTGACCCCAAGCTGGGGAGAATATGAGTGGGGGGGGGGTTGGGAGAGGGAGGAGGTGACCATTAGCACGGTCAAAGAGGAAGGTCTTCAGTCGTGATCTAAAAGAGGGGAAGGAGGGGGTAAGGCAGAGGGATTGAGGGAGAGAATTCCAAAGCTTCAAAAGTCAGTGGGGTGGGTATTCTGGAAGGATAAGATGAAATTGGCTGAAGGGTCTTCTTCAACAGAACCTCTGTTGTGATATGTTTCATTGTGTACCTTAATTTTTTCCTTTAGCATCACCACCATATCCTTGAGCTCATCCCGCTCACTCCTGATGGTATCAAAGTATTCTTTCTGCCTTTCTAAGGCCTGAGGTGCCGGCAGCGTGTGGAGAGAGGCAGCAAAACAGACAGGAAAGAGGAGGAGAGCAGAACGTAACAAACAGCGAAGACCAGAAACAGTTTAAAAAAACAGAGGGAACAGAGATACAAAGGTCTGCCTGAGGAGAAGCTCCATGTGCCATCCCTCTAACAAGAGGGTGAGCGGATTGTGGAGCTGTGAGAGAACTTCCACCTGGGTCTATTTTCTTGGCATTTGAAAGCAAAAACTCACCCTAACTAATACTCCACTGATGTGGTCAGTTCGCTAACCTGGTCATTTTTATTTTACTGCTAGTCTTGTTTCATTTTCAACATCATATGAAAAAGTATTTTCATTTAGAGACATTAAAATTACAACTTAAATTAAACGTTGATGTTGTTGTTAACCATGGAAAGGGGTGTCTGGGTGTGTTAGTCACCCAACTGACAATAAAAAAAATTTAGTCAATTCTTTAGTTCAGTCTTAATTTTTATGAACTACTGAAAACCGTCTGCCAAATTAACACCATATAAATGCAACATGTTCTCAGACCTCTGAGGGGGAACTGAAGTCAAATACAAAACAGTCAGAAAAATCTCTGTCTGGGAGATCTCATTCCGTATATTTATGAAGCTTTAATGTCTCCTGACCAAGGTGAGGGATCTCAATTCTGACAAATAGAAGACTTTAGCTTTTCATGAATTCTAGTGTTATTATTGTGCACAAATTAGATACAGTAAAACTTCCTCTGCATTGTTCATCTACACTCCCAGGTCAGATAGAACACAGGTTAGATACCGAGTAAAGCTTCCCTTACACTGTCTATCTACACTCCCAGGTCAGATACAACACAGGTTAAATACAGAGTGTCTACACAGTTGGCCAGGACACCGGTAGAAACTCCAGTTTCTTTTCAAATAGTGCCATCTTTAACATTTGCCTGAACAGGCAGACGGGACCTCGGTTTAACATCTCATCCGAAGGACAACACATCCTGTAACACATTGCTTCCCCCGGCGTTGCATCTGCAGTGTCAGTCTGGGTTGCGAGCTCAAGTTTGCAATGTATGAGATTGAGGATCTCATCCAACTTTCTCACCCAGAAGTGAGAGTGCTACCAACTGACCTAGGCAGACACTGGGTCCATTTCAATAGCTTTTGCCAATAAAATCTCACGTCGCATACAGCCCTATACAGTCTGATGGCTGCTATGTCCTACCCCTATCTTCTTGTCCTTCCACTCTATAGTTTCCTGCAGGTCAGAGATTTCCCTGGCAGAGGTCTCTTTGCTATGGGTCAGCCGTTTGATTTCCTGATTCCGGGTTAGGTTGAAACAAAAGAGAGAGGGAGAGATGGAGGGGGAGAGGGGGAGAGAAAGATGGGGGGGGGGGGAGGAGGAGAAAAAGAAGAGAAAGGAGATTGTCAAGAAGTAACAAAAGGATTTCAGAACCATTTACCTCAAACACACACTGTCAGCCAAAACATCTGGAGAGGTTAATGTAACCAGATGTGAAGCATATATAACCTTTGTGAGAGGGAGTGTTACTGCTTAACAGGGGACAACTGTTCAGAGCACCTTCCAATTACAGGACACAGAGGGTCAAAGCCATTCAACTCCACATGTCTACCCTGGTGCTGGCTTCCTGGGACATTTTGCCCGAAAAACACATAGTTAAACCCACTTTACGGTGCTTCCTCTGAAGTACTTTGAGTCGTTTCAACGATCTCATAAGACGCTATATCAAACGCAAGGATTATTGTAGAGCCAAGCATTTAAAGGGCGCTGTTACTGAAGTAAACACAGACCAGGGCTGTTACTGAGGTGAAGGAACAAGCGGAGGTAAAGCTAAATATTGATATGAATGCCAATCCCATAAGATGTGTTGGCTCAGCCTAGTGCTGAAAGGGGAGGGCTGAGGGGCTGTAAGGCTCAAAGGTAGAGACACTTATGAGCACCATTTCACTGTTTAACCCAGGACTGACACACTTCCTCACAGGCCAATGATATCCCAGGACACACTGACCCAGACGGCTTATTCTGGTTACTGACGTGACCCAATTTAAAACTCCCAACATTGACCTAAAGCTGCTCAAGAGGAACAGGTCCTAGATGCCAGCCATGTCACTGGAGTCTCACGCTCTCCCCAGCACTTCTCTATGTAAAGCATTATAAGTGGGCATCATGATACTTTGACTTTTGCCTTGAGATCAGTTTGCCTCCCTACCCTCCCACGCACCCAGACAAGAGAGGATGAAGCCTCTGCTGGATCACACTGACCCCAGCCGTTACGTTCAGTCAGGCTGGTGGGGGGAGCAGTTCACTTACCATTAACATCTCTTCTCTCTGTTTCAGAGACTCTTTGATTTCCTCAAACTGAAACTGTAACACGCTGTGGGCGTGCTTCTCTCTTTCTAACTCCTGGAGGATCAAAAAGGAGAGAGAGAGCACAGAATTCAGCTCACACACAACCAGCTTCAAACTGCTTTAAACAGAAAACATCACAACAGCCTTCTGCTGCGCTGGGTTCCCTCCCTCCTTCTCCTTCACTCTCCCTCCCTCTCTCCCCTCCCTCCCAATCCCTCCCTCCCTCCAAGGCTGGCAATCAGCTCTACGGGCTCACAATCCTTGTCTTCCTCCAATCCTTGCTATGTTAAAATGAAGACTTCTCCATCTGTCTCCCACCGTAATTTCCCAGGACCTCACCACGTTCTTGCTCGGTCACCAGATTATCAAGACTCTGGAGTCACACGCTCTCCCATACCGCACTCGTCACCTCCCAGGCTGTCCTGACCTCCCTCCAGCCCCACAGGCAGTAACCTTGGTTCAATGTTTCATCTGAAGGATGGCAATGGAGCGAACGGTTAGGGCGGTGCACATCCCAAACCCCCGACCTCCAGGGTAGTTCCCCTGAGCTGGGCTGGGCTGCCTCTGCTGGCTACTCACTTTGGCCTTTTCCTGGAATTCCCTGTTGCTCTCAGCCAGATGCTCCTCCACCTCCAGAAGCACATCCTGCAGTGTGTCCACCTGGTACATCAGAGTGTTCTTCTCATTGTCTAGCTGAGCGTTGGACACCATTGCTTTCCTGTACTTCTCCTCCACCTCTGCCAGCGAATCCTGGGGGAGGAGAAAGCCGACACACATGCCCATCACAATCGGAGCAAAACTCCTGCCTGCCCCCACCCCCCATCCCCCACCAAACCTGTGCTGCCAGCCATAAACATAAGGTAAAGATGCCCACACTCTGCTGTGCATCTCGATGGAAGAAGCCCTGCTGATTTTCCATCCAACAGTACCACATTGCCACTTTGGGGGGCAGAGGGGTAGCACATCACCTCCAGCCTGCACTGAAAAGTAGGAATGTGGCCCCTGCCCAAACCCAAAGCAACTGCGGACAACCAAAGAAGGAAGGGGTGCCTGGGGTGTCGGAGGGAAAGGGCCAGACAGAAAGCACAGCCCAAAAGGGAGGGATTTTTGAAGACAGGAAGAGGTGGTGCGAGGAGGAGTAGAAAGAGGGGTGCCCGAAAGCTCAGCAGCCAACGAGCGATGAGGGAGGTGCAAGGGCCCAGTCTGTGGAGCTCAGGACAGGAGGGGGGCAGGAGGAGGCTGTAGGCCGAGTACCTAAGAGAGGGGGGACCATGTTTTTGTAAACCAAATCCGGGGACGCATATTTAAATGAAATTTAACTCGGCACAAGTACAGGAGAGTTCTGACTAAATGTTAACTCACTTTCCTCTCTCCATAGATGCTGCCTGACCTGCTGAGTGTTCCCCGGTGACTTCTGTTTTTATTTCAGGAGAAAAAGTTTGTTGGATTAATGGCTGTGCTTCTCTGATGAGTGTATCGGTTTTAGAATTTTACTGTACTTGCTCAGTTTGTTGCTGAACTCTAGACAGGGCAAATTTGGCTCCAGGGACACAACAACTCATCCGGGGACATATGGTCACCTTGTCTAAGAGCGGACTGGATGCTGGGAATCAGCAGGCTTCTGCCATTCCCAACCCACACCATGATGCTTCCCTCACAGCTCAGCTCAATTTGCCAATCGGGATCATTCCCACTGGTCGTAACTCTTGGCATTCCCAGTTTCTGCAAGCCCCCCCCATTAAGGAGCTGCAGGAGGCATCCATCAAACGACAGCGCCTGATCAGCCCAGCGAAGATGTGTTCCTGGCAATATTCTCCTCTCCCAAGAATCTGGGCCTTGCATTTCTTGGACCTAGAGAGAGTCTGTCTGCGTGTGTGTGCATGTGTGTGGATTGGGGGAATGGGAGGGTACGAGGTGGAGAAAGAAAGCAGAGGATTCTCAACACAGGTATTCACAGAGTGTGGCGAGGGAGGGGTGTTAAGGCAGGTTATCTGTGGTTTTGGTCATAATCCACCCCTCAAGCTCACTTCACACACAAGGTCCACAGAGGTTTCACACTGAAAATGATCAGAAAGCAGCTTAATGCAGACCAAGGTTAGTTAGTTAGTAAGAAAATCCACACAGCGAGGAGAGAGATTAGGCATCACCAGCCACACACATGCAGGTTAATAATGGCTTTCGGTCCTCATTTGGAGATGCGGTTAAAAAGCAAGGCAGGGTATCCCTCAGCCAGATACCTTAAGTTCTTTAAGGCTCTGCATGTATTTGCCTTCTACATCCTGAATCTGGTCCTTTAGCTCAAAAATATCCTGGTGGAAAAGGAAACGACAGGACCTCGTCGATACAGGCAGCGCTGCATCATTCACACCACTTTGTGCCTGTCTCTGCAGCACCCGCCCACACCCCCAGCCGTGCTCAAGAGCGAGAATCCAAGGCAGGCATTTTTACCGTCTCGGGGGGAAAAAAAAGAGCGTCTATGTCTTCAGCAACGATCAGACAAGCTAGGGTTCTTCAGCCTTGAGAAAAGACGACTCAGAGTGGGACCTCGTAGAGGCATATAAACATTTTAAATGCAATTGAAAAGTTAGACCAAAATAGTAGAACAAGAGGACATAGGTTTGGAGCGGGAAAGGGCAATTGCAGGACAGACACCAGGTATTTTTTCTTTACTCAGAGGGTAATTAACTACTGGGAAAGGTTGCAAGGAAAGGTGGTTGAGCCAGGACACTCATTTAAAAAGCAGCGTGATGTTGCTTTGAGAGGGCGGTAAGGTGGGTGTTCTGGAGGGATGACATCAGTTGGGCCGAAGGGCCTTATTCATTCAAACCCATCTCTGAAAGAACGGCTAGAAAGCACTACAACTCACAACACCTCCTCCCAACTCACACTGACTTAAACCAGTGAGAAATAGACAGCAACCTAACCCAGGACTCAGCTACAGGCTGGAGTCTAACCAGTGGGGCTCAGGGAGAGGGGGACGTTATATATACAGTATGGATTCTGGGAGTGAGTTACAGGCTGGAATCTAATCCGGGGGTTGGGGTGTCGGAGGGACAGGCCAGACAAGGTACATAGAATAATGGAGCCCGGGAGTAACTAAAAGGATCCTCAGGATTTGAGCTGAGCCCCACCCCCGAGTCGAGAGCCTCTGAGCCGAGTCAGAGTCTTACCTTGATCTCGCGGATGGATGCTTCGGTGTCCACGGAGGCGATGGTGTCGCCGCTGCCCCTCCGGGAGGAGGTGCCCCCCAGAGAGGCGAGGGTGGCAGCAGACAGGCTGGATGTGGTGCGAGAACCCTGAAACACAAACTCTCCATTACTGAGGGTGTCGATCACCAGCTATGCTATGCCCTGCCTTGTACCCCACCAGAGAAGGCAGGGTCAGCGCCGGGATACACCGAGGGAAGGGGAGGGCAGCCGGGGTCAGTGCGGAGTCAGACTGAGAGAAGCTAAGGGCTAATCTAAACTGAGGGACTGAACGATCGGCATTGAGAGACTCTGCCTGACGTGTGCAGATGATGAGGCTTGGTGATCACTTCATAAGCCAGGCAATTTGCACCCAACAAGGACCCGCAAGCAGTCATGAAGTGAGTAACCTAGCTATGGGTAGGATATCTGGCCAGGGCAATAGGAGAAACTCGCTCCCCTTTTCACCTCACGCACCAACCACAGAGTCCCTTCTCCCCTGCTGGATTCCATACCTTCTCTCCGAAGTCCTTTTCAGGCCTCTCCTCAACCTGCGGATAGAGAGGAAGGCAGAGGTGAGAATTGTAACACACAGAGAGATGGCACAACCCGCTCCCACCCGTGAAGGGATGGTGCCCAACACCAAGCACTGGGGTCAACACAATCCCACTATTATCAACAAAACGCAAAATACTGCAGACGCTGGAAATCTGAAGCAAACAGAAGTCGCACATCAGGCAGCATCTATGGAGAAAGGAAAGTAAGTCAAAGTTTCAGGTCCACGACCCTTCGTCAGAACTGTCACGACCCTTCGTTGGGAACAGTCACCGTTCTGACGAAGGGTCGTGGACCCGAAAGGTTGACTACTTTCCTTTCTCCATAGATGCTGCCTGACCTGCTGAAGGTTCCCAGCGACTTCTGTTTTTGTTAACATCCCATTATTGGTGGATGTCAGAATCAGTGCTGCACTTAGACCAGACTTGTCACTGACACACATACAGGGTGTTCACAAAGTCCTGTTACCCCTCTGTGTTGTTTGTTCGTACAATTAATTTTTGCTTTCAGATGAGTCGAGTGTAACAATGTCTGACAGCAGTAACTTCCTCATCACTCCATCCATGTTTCAGAAGATGTCACACCAAACATGCAACGTGACATGAAAATGATGGTGCTCACACCCACCGATCCTCTGAATACCTAAATACAGTTAAAGACTTGTACTGAATACAATTAAGTACTACTAAATACAATTATCATCATTCTTCCATGTGTTTGAGTTGTTGGTCAGTGCACTGCAGGAACAAAAACAAGGGGGTAACAGGACTTTGTGAACACCCTGTACAAACTAGAACCATGAAACAACTGCTCAGTGTAACTCAGTGTAACTGCTTTACACTGAGCTGCGCCGCTGGCTGAGGGCACTCGTTCTGCCCGAGACCACACACAGTGAGCTCCTGTGGTCAACCATGGCCACTGAGGCCTGGCCAATCCTCACAATTAGAATCACTGTAATGTCTGCATGTGACACAGCGTTTTTAAAACTCAATTACCTCAAAGTATCAAGTGCAATTGTTGATTTACTGTCAAATCCAAGTCAGTCACTGTGCATTGTGTAGGCAAAAGCTGCAGTCAATTTGTGCACAGCGATGCACAGTACAATTTACACTTGTATGGCGCCTTTTTCATGTCAGGAGGACAACAGCCACAAAATTAAACTTACATAGAGCCTTTCACATCGGAAGGATGTCCCAAGGCGCTGGACAGTTAAGGATTTGCATCCGAGCTGGGGTTTGGAATCAAGAGGGGTGGAGGGGAGGTGGGAGCGTGGCTGAAAGCATGGTAATAGAGGAAAGTCTTGATACGGGCATTGAAGGAGGAGGGAGCTATGTAAGAAAGAAAGACCATCCCAATTGGGACTGGACTGGAATATTGCCAGCCAGAACACCAAGAGAAACTCCCTTCTCTTTTTGAATAGTGCCATGTCTGCCTTTAACATCTGCCTGAACAGGCTGACAGGACCTTGGTTTAATGTCTCATCCAAAGGACGGCAACTCCAACAATGCAACGCCCACCCCAGCACTGCATTAAGCGTCAGCTTTGACCATGTGATTCCAAGTTCCAATGTGGGGCTTGAGCCCACAACCTTCTGACTCAGAGGCTAGAGTGTTTACCACTGTGCCAGGCTGACACACATTTGTAGACAAGCGCGTTACTACAGTCATGTTGAATTGCAACATTTGCCGAGTATCTGTTGGGGTTGGGAACAGTCATCGCACAGAGCAAGAGGGCAGCGGTAAGTAAGACGCTCACCACAGGGCTGGCACGTGCCGAGCTGGCGCGGGACGAGGCACGGGATCCTGAGCCCAAAAAGCAGCTGTACTCTGAGGGCTGGCATGCGAGCCCAGGAGGCACAAAGAGAGAGAGAGAGAGAGAGAGAGAGAAGCATTAGATAGAGTGTTCAGAAGCAGAATTTCATAATCGCAGAGCAAAGAACCACCAGCAAGAGCGGACAGAAGGGAGACAAAAGACTGACAAACACCAATGCTGGAGGAGAACAATTATTCACTCTAAAAGGAGAGGAAGATCATGAAAGAGAGAGTTCCTGCACCCGTTGAGAGCTGGGAAGGACATTCACGGAGCTTAGGAGCAGAAACCTGAACTCCCCTTAAGCAATAAGGTGCAGTTGTTCAGCAGGAACCTCCATCCCTCTCTCACTCGAGGATTGATGATGTAAAAAAGCCGCTCATATTAGCCACACTGACTGATGGCCCGAGTCCCTCAGGGCCTGGACCTGTCTCCTACATTCTGTTGGTCTCAGAGATGCCAACCCCTCAATGACCGAGAGGAACGCGGAAAAGTCCTCACACCAGCCAGAGCTCTAACCAGGGTCGCAGGCCAGAGCCACACCCAAACACAGACATTTTTGACGCAGAAAGATTAGCCCATCCTCTCTGTGCCACTGCCAGCCCTGTGTTTTTCTAAACCAAAATTATCTTTTTTTACTAATCCCACTTTCCTACTCTTTCCCATCCTCTCTGCTTGTTTTATTGGCCACCTTATCCTAATTTCCCTTTTGAACAATTCTATGCTTAGATGCCATTGACGCTAATGAATCCTGCGCCTCACTAAGTGACTTCTGGGAAAGTTTTCTCCCTATTGCTTTCAAAGCCCTCCACGGTCTTGCTCCTCCCTATCCCTACCTCTATGACCTGGTAACTCTCTGCTCAGCGGGCTCCATGTCCATGCTCCATGACCCCCGCCCTGCATGCCTCACCCCTCCCTTGCCTCCTTCAAGGCCCCTTTCAAGACCTTCCTTTTCGACTGCACCTTTGGTCAACCACAACTACCCCTCTTGATCCCAAACCCCAGCTCGGGTCCAAATCCTGACTGTTCAGCGCTTTGGGACATCCTCTTAATGTGAAAGGTGGTATACAAATGTAATTTGTTTGTTTATTGTTCTATCAGGCCTTCCAGAATCTTAACCACCTCGATAACCCAGTCTCCCACTGGATATCCTGAGAGATTAATAGCACAAAGTATCCAGCCCACTGTGGCAGACTCAGGCAGGTATGGAGAGCTCTTTATTTTTCCATGGATCTCCCCTTCCCACCCCAAGCCTTTTGGATTTATTTAAACCAGACAGCAAACCATTGAACTAGTTTGGATGCCATTGTGGCTCGCCACTGGAGCCTGGCACCGATAGACACTCACTCATTGCTGCCAATTATGAGGTTCACTTTACCAGTTAAATTACATATCCACTGACTCTGGGAATGTTAGCATTTAGTTCATGAAGAAGGAGCTACGTAAAGACACACACACACACACTCAGCCCACACACGCAGCCGGAGCAGGGGAGCTGTACTGATCACATCGGGCACAAGTCTGGGAACCGAGAGAGATACTGTGAAGAGAAGTTAGTTGCGGGACACAGATGACAACATCAGCTCCACGCGCACACAGTGCAAGCAACATTTGAGGTGCAAGAACTGACAGTCAGTGGTTATTCGGTGAGGAGAGACGGGTGGGGGGTGGTTAGTGTCACTATGTACATTACAGGCAGTTATAGTCACAGATCTCTATATAGAATACACACACACACCAGCTCGTTGAATTTATAGCACAACCAATGTAAGGATTATGCAGGTGACGATATTACCCTGTTGCTAGCCAATAACGAAGTAGGGGCCATAATTCTTTCAAAAGGGACTTTGACCGATGCACGAAGAGGAGGAACGTTGGAATTGGGGGGCGAGCAGGGTTCCTTCTTCACCTCTCTGGCAGCGAACTCTACTCTACGTCTTTGCTCACTTATTTCACAGGGTTAGACCTTTGTTTGGAGAGGGTGGTTCACAGCCTCATTGAGCTCAACGACCACTTCCTTCTCCTTTGGAGGGAAAACAAAATCTTCTGCAGGAATGAGATCAGATGCCCAATCCAGACCAGAGCCTTGGGATGTCCTCCTGACGCGAAAGGTGCTACAGAAATGTAATTTGTTGCTGTGAACTTTTAGACCCACAAAAAAACAGGTACTGTGGGATGAGGAACTGGCTGGAAGTGACAAAAGGATTGGGTAAGTCTTAAAGCCAGTCTTAATTTGAGAGTGTTTTTCCTTTAAGAACTGCAGTAAATCCAGGTCCAAATAAAGGCTGACTATTAAGAATCTGCACTCGCTTAAATGTTTAAGGCTGAACCAAGGAGAGGTTGCAGGTCTCTTCTCTGGGTGCTGGTGGAATCGTGTCACTTGTTAAGGTCAGAACCCCCAGAAAGGGCAAGAAAAGGCCGTTTAAAATAAATATTATACTTTTGCTTGTCCTGAGTAACCCCCGGCCCTCACTTCCCCATTCCCTACTATATCAGTGTGCAAGCCCTGGGGGTTGGTGGTGGGAGGGTGAGGAGACAAGGAGATCTGAACAGACAGACAGACGGGAGCACATCGCACTGCAGCTACCGGGACGAGGGTTACAGGCTGGAGCTAGTGAAAGGGGACGCTCAGGGCAGCACAGGGCATGCTCGGTACCAAAATGGAGGAAACAGCCTTACAGCACGGGAGCTGGAGGCGCTACAGCGCCGATTCCCGCTGTACGCACCCTCCTCATACAGCGACGCCTGGAAAATAAACACAGTCAGGAAAGCAGCCAGCCGTTCAGTCACAGAGAGAGCGAGAGAGTCAGTCACACCCTGATCAGCTCAGAGTGATCACTAACACAGTGACACAATGTCACACAACAACTTAGTGTCACAGAGACTCAGTGTCAAACAATGCTAATAATAATAATCCTTGTATTTGGTAGAAATAATAGTATCAAACAGTAAACAGAACAACTTGGTATCACACAGCGACACAGCAAACTCCGCGATTGGGTCAGTGCCAATGGAATATAGAGGCTCAATGTCACGAAGGAAGCACGCCTGAAGCAGTAAACACTGAAACAAAACAACAGCAATTTGCATTTATATAGCTTCCTTCACACAGGGTAACACAAGGGCGCAGAGTTTGCTGACTAAGGGGAGGAGAGAGCCAGAAGTGCTAATCCCAAGGGACTGTCCAGATTCCACCCTCCGCAAAGCTCGGGAGGAAGAGATCGCGGCTTAAACAATAATTTACACCTCATTTGGAAGACTTTATTAAATTATTCTTCCCTTTAAATCCAGAGGTGACAGATTCCTCCCATCACTAACTGTGGCAACTTGGAGGGAGTGTGGTTAGACTGAGGGAACCTCTCAGCCAGAGAATCTCTGTAAATGCCGGGGGCGGGGGTTGTGGGGGGGAGAGCAATCTCTTTGGGAACACACACAATCACTGCTGTTAAACTTATTCAGCATTTCCATTACATCACAATTGCAACAGTCAGACTCCACTGAACTGTACAATCGCGGAGCATTGCACCTTACAATCACACAGCAAATGGTATATAAAAGTCTTGACACCATTAATCCGTACTTCGCACACCATGAGGCGTAGTCTGTGAACAGGAGCATACATTGTGGTTGTTCAAACTTCAAATTAAAACTTGTTTCGCCCAAAGGAGCGTTCCAGAGAGGACGAGCGAGGGAGGGAGTGACTGAACAAGCGAGTGAGGTTGCCGTTCGTCTGGCTGGACCTGAAGGCCGGGAGGAAATATCACTTCACAAAAAGGCAGAAAGTTAAAGTGAGAGGCCGGGTGTGGAGTTAGCGATAGGATGTGGTGTTCGGAGTGCAATCTCCCGGCACAGCAGCGATTGCGCTTGTCCTGCATATGACTTTGTGGACTGATCAATGAGACACTGCTATTATTGGTCTGTAACTCTCACACTTACTAAACTCAATGTATGGTAGGCAGTCTGTAGTGCTATTGGAGGAGAGGGGGTGGGGAGAGACAACAGATTTCACATCCACACCCAAATCACAGGCTGAAAAGGAAAATGGAAGAGAGAGAGAGAGAGGAGAGACAGACCCGGGATCCATTGTGGGATGAGGAGTGGGACTTGGAGCTTAGGCCTGGGGTGTGTTGACTGATGTCGAAGTGGTAGCTGCCCTGTGCGAAACGTGGAGAAAAAACAGTCAGGAAACAGGAGAGTTTTGAGGAAATAAAGAGAGAGAGGAAAAGCACTAAAACTACGTCAGGGAACACAGGACAGAGAGGTGCTGGCACGAGCCAAGCCTTGTTCATGAGGACAAGACAGGTTATGCCACCTGTGGTGGAGACTCTCCCAGGTCTGAGTAAGAGGCTCGGAGATCAAACCCAGCCTAACATCACAGGCACAGCACTGGGCTTCCTCTAAATGTCCCACACATTCACACACACTCGCAAGACATATATATCATATGATCATAAAATCATAGAATTTTACAGCACAGAAGGCCACTAGGTTCATTGTGTCTGTGCTTGTTCTTTGAAAAGAGCTATCCAATTCAATCCCACTCCACCGCTCTCTTCCCATAGCCCTACAAACTTGTCTTCCCGAAATAATTATCTAATATATTCCAAAAAAAATTGGTTACCCGGGTGTCTGACACATGCGGAAACCTATCACCATGCTTCAGATCATTCAAACTAAGCTGAGATTTCCATGGCATCCCACCTACACACGGAAATCCCTGTGATAAGATTGTTGGAAAGGAATACGTATTCTCTCCTGGTGGGGCGCATTCTGCTTACACAATTCTGGAAAGTTTTAAGCGCAGGTTGGCAAGAGCCAAGGCTTGGGGACCCCAGAGTGTGTGTTGGAGAACTACTGGAGTCTAACCAGCTAAAAGCACATAGTATGCCATTGATATTGCTGTCTGGCAAGCTTGTGTTAGGGCTTTGGATTGCAGGGTAGCAGGAGCCCTGCCCCCAGTGACTTAGTCTGCCCTTCCAGGTCCTGCCAATGAGCCAGGCTGGTTGTGCTCTCATCAGCAGTGCCCTGGAGAACTGCGCCACCGAGGCCTGGCTTGATTCTGACATTCCATTGTCAGATGTGTCACCTTGGAGCCAGGTTACACACACACACACAAAAATGCACGTACGCACATACTGACACACAGGTACTGACACACTCAGGTACTGACACACACTCGGGCATGCCCTGACACGCACACGGCCTGACAAGCATGCACGCCCTGACACACAAGAGTGACAAACTCGGCACCTCTTCAGTCACAGGCAAAAATACACACGGAGGGAGGTAGAGGAAGGTGGGAGGGAATGAAAATCCAACCAACCAAAGCATCCGTTCTGGAAGACATCTTTGAGGGTCTAAGATTTTCGTCACTGTACCTAGAGCTCTGTACATTTCCATTGATAAAAAAAATACAACAGGTAGACCTGATTTTAGTCTTTTTATGTATCAGAAGCTTTGTCAAACCACACTAAAAGATAACCTTGAATTGGATCAGGTGGAATTACTATTGTAATGTAAACACACACAATACAAACCCTACTGGACTTTTTACTTGGGCCAGAGGTGTAAGAAAGTTCATCATAGCCATTGGTCTGTGCAAAGAGAATAGGAATCAGTCAAGACCAGATGAGATGCAGTGACCAGAACAAACAATTGCATTACACAATAAAGGTGACATTGTCACCTCAACTCAACACCACCTCAACGTCACCTCAGCCCTCAGGTAATCAAGTGAGAGCAAGAGGAGTAGGCGAGACACACACACACACGTGAACATACGAGTCAAGAGAAAGAGAAACTAGTTGAGAGACCGAGAGAAAGACCCAGGCAAACAAGGAGTACAGACTCAGATAAGAGACGCACAGATAGACGAGAGCGCGAGAGTAAGACACACACAGATAGACACGAGAGAGAGAGCGACTCACGCAGGCAGACGAGACGCCCACAGTGCACTGACCAGACTCAATGGCCACATTACCACAGGGATCAAGCTATGACTGAAAGCTTCCCTCATTGAGCAGTGTGGCAGCTCACAGTACCCCGTGCCTGCCTGTTGCTATTTATAAACCACGTTCCCACATGTGAACAGAGCGGCCACAAATAGATCCATTTCGCTCTGTGAGCAGTTTCCATCAGACCGAATTCCCGGTGGAATCTCTCACTCTCTTCACTTGGAGGCCACAGCCTGGTCACAGCAGGCGCGCGAGTGCCCCTTTTACACCTAAACAGACAAGACCGTGCCCGGCAAAACTAGCGTGATAAAACGGCACAGGAGCGAGGGGTAAAGCTTTCTGTCTGCTGGCTCACTCTTTCTGCCAGGACCACCCCAATTCCTAGTGACTGACAGGGCAGAGTCGACCATACACTAACTCAATGTGAGTGTGTGATTGGAGTGATGAATTAACCCCTCAGATTCTCCCTCTGGAGCCCTCACAGTAGAGACTCTCTCTCCGGTGTACGTACTGCTTTGGATTTCTTCTTCTTTTTCGTCTTTTCGGGGGCCTGTCCAGCCTGTGTTACACAAAGTGAGAGACAGTGAGAGGGCGACTGGAGGGCCCAGGCTCGACATGCACACAGCCAGGGGCCAGTGAGAGGGACTCACTCACAGTTCACACAGCAGAACAGCCCAGAAACTGGGCAGGTTGCGTCTCAGGCTGGTTAATCCCCGTGGGTGTGCGTTAGATCATAACTCAGGTTATAGGTCTCAGAGCTGAGGAGATTAAGGGGTGACCTGATTAAGGTGCTTAAAATAATGATGACTTCCCTCTGGTGCAGGGATCCAAAACAATTATAATTAAGAGGGTTAGAAGTGAGATCAGAAGACATTCCTTCATGCAGAGATACACTGACCCAGAAAGGATGTGGAGGGAGAATGAATTGGGATTGTGGGGTAAAGAAACTTGCGTAACGTTTCGCTCTGCCTGGTAATCAAATCGAGGTCCTCTCGCTTGCAGGGTGAGTGCTCTAACAAATACTATACAAGATTCCTTAAATAAGGGCGTTTAAGGGGTATGGAGAAAAGTTGAGGGAACTGGGATCTAATAAGACGGAGGAATAGGCTCAATGAGCCAGATGGATTCCACCAGTTTCCTCATTCCTATCAAAGCCCGTGGAGAAGGGGAGCAGAGGGGGGCAGTACAGACCCTTCACCAGTCAACATGAACTTCAGACATGCTTCCGCAGGAGCCACACGGTGATGCTGAGGTATCCAAAGCTACAAGATAGACAGGGCCAAACTCAAATGAAGAGGAGACTGATCCCATTACTCTGCTCTTTCACTATGGTTTCTGTGCTGGCTCCTCCCACTGAAGCTCAGCGCTCTGTACTCAATTTTCCTGCTCTTTTTCCACATCTGTGTCTGTGCTGATTTCCACGGGAGCTCTCTACTCTGATCTCACTCCCTGCTCTTTCCTGTACCCAGTCTTGTTACTAAATTGGTGCTCATGTGGGCAGGAGGACAATCGCTGGCGCGATGAAGAGGGTACCAAGAGGTCAATGTGCAGGGCAGCAAAGAATGGGATTGATGCTGTGTTTAAGTGGGGTTGGAGGTCTGCATTCACTATTACTACAGCCAACTGGGCTCAACATAACAGGCATTTCACTCATGTTAGTATAAGATCTATTTTCTGAGCTTATCACTCAACACAAAAAGCAGGCTATGTGATCTCACCCCTCCGTAGACCCCAGCACTCTCATGATCTGACTGTCCGGTAAAATGGTGGCGAGAGGGGAAAGAGAGAGAAACACAGACACACAGGCAGCCTTAAAAATCGTCGTACACAAACACAGGAAATAACAGATTAAACGTCTCCATTCAAAAGCTGGCATGCTTTGCGAGTGACTGGAAGCTTCTGGAATCCCTGAGGGGGCTTCCAGAAGGATGCTTCATTTTGACTTTCGAGAAGTTTCCAACTTGACCAAACAAATGCACAAATAAAAAAAATCACAGGGCGGAACAACAAAAGCTGTTCCGTCCATCACATCAGTCCTTTGCCTAAACAAGCATGTACTTGGGACATTGCCCCTTTAAGAGACGGTAGCCACAAGTAGCATGTTTACGTGTCATCTCTATCCCAGTTCCTGGAAGGGCTGGGAGAGGGGGTGACTCTCCCTCTGTAAGTGCAGCTCAGTGCCTTTGAAAGCTGATGGTTACACAGATCTCAATGCAGTGTTTGCAGCCTCTGACAGCACCTAACAGCTGCTGCTCTCTTCCTCCATGAAGGGCATTCACTCTGAACACAACCATTCGCACGCCTCACATAATAGACCTCAATTCGACCACAAACAAAGACTGTGCACGGAAACCGGGAAGTACGCCACTTTATCCCACAAAAACTCTACTCGACATAATAATAATAAAATAATTCTTGCATTTGATATAGCGCTTTTCACGTCTTCTAGACATCCAAAAGCGCTTCACTGAATATACATAGTTCCATAATTCACCTCCGTTCCTGTAGCTCAACGGGAATTCTAACAGGGTTCCTTATGGAGAGATCTGGGTAAGAAATCCTACAAATTAGATCCTCCCCCACCCCAGTCTGGGGGGAGAAGGGGGGAGGGAAGATTGGAGCGGGAGGAGTGGGGGGAAGGGAGGAAGGAAGGAAAGTTAGCTCCAGTCAATCCAAACCACGCTTCAAAACTACGCAAATACGAAATGCAAAATGATTGCAAATAAAACATGGTTAAAGCAAATAAATGATTTCATAATTCCCTTCGGGATCTTTGGGAAATCTAAAGAAAGAATCATATGACACAAATGGCTAAGAACTTATAAATACAGAAATGGAAACAGACATCCGAGAGCAAGAGTGAGGAGGTCCAGACGACTGTCACCACCGATCCTCTGACAGTCACAGTCTCAGCAACATGGGAAATTGGTAATAAGATGGTTACTAACCCTCAGGCTGCCACGGCTACCCACTGACATCCGTTCATCTTCATCTGACACCTGATGGCATGAGCAACAAACAAGGTGTGAGGGTGGGAACAGATGAAGAATGTGCAATGCAATGTCACAGCGAGAGGGAGAGAGGAGCGAGAGAGAAGAAAACAGGTAGAGGCACAGAGGGGAAAGCATAGAGAGTCGCACACACATACGCACTCGTGTGTGTACACACACACACAGGGACTGACAAAATCACACATAGAGACAGACAGATAGTCACAGAGGTAAAGAGTCAAAGAAAACAACAACAATTTGCATCTTTCACATAGGGTAATATCTCGGAGTGCTTTCCAAGGATATAGTTGGATGTCAATCAAGCAAAGGAGAAGGGGGAGAGGGTGATGACCGTAGGCGCGTTTGAAGAGGGAGGATTTGAGACGAGACACATACACATGGATGCAGAGAGATTCAAAGACACAGAGAAAGAGAGAGAGAGCGACACACACACAAAGTCAGAGAGAGAGAAAAAGAAACACCTACACAGAAGGAAGAGAAACATGAAGTTGCAGAAAGAAAGAGAGGATACAAACCGAAGGGAGTCTTCTGAACCTACGAGAATATCGCTCACTGTCTTCCTGCAGTCACGCAGAGGAGGAAAGAAGCCGAAAGTTTGGTGAAAAAGCAAAAGACAAGATAGAACACAGAGAGGCAGGAGAAAGAGAGAAAAATCACAGTCAGGTCACAATTTAGGGACAAAATCGAGCACGCGAGAAAGTGTGTGTGAAGCACAGAGACCAAAGCTCCAACCGCACGCTGACAATGTGAGGCAGGAGCTTATCCTGAACACTACACCCCAGAGCCCACTGCCTGTGAACACAGTAACACGCTCCCCAGCGCTAACACAATACAATACAGTACAACGATCTCCAGGACATTAACAGCAGAGTTCACTTCCCATCTCTCGGTAGGTCTCCCTTTCACCCTCGGTCATTGAAAGATCAGAAAACGCAGCGATTATAAACCATAACAATTACACGTCAACGTTAGATGTTAATATCCCTCCCTACATACTCCCCACGCCCCAGCCCATAATTGCTCATATTCCAAGCCTCAATACCATTTTGAGTTAAAACTTAAGATCATCCAAACTTGTTAAAAATTCTTAAATCCGGTCTTCAATTGGAAGCCGGGATTCCGCAGTCCCTCTAGAAAACCATCTCCCCAAAGCCTGGATTTAACAATAGTAATAACACCTGATAACAATTTAAGAAAGCTCCAAAACCCAACATGATTGCAACATTTTAAGGCAATGATCCACAGGTTGAGATGGTGAGGAGTTTCTGGCCTCAGCTCTGGCTGTTACTAAGGGTGTCAGGAGAGAGCTGTTAATCTCTGGGGGTTTCATATTGGATTGAGTGTAAATGGCAATGAAATTGTATCCAAACAGCAAAACCTCTGCTTTACATAGAGAAATATGGCACAGAAGCAGACCATTTGACCCAACAAGACCATGGCAATGTTTATACTCCAGTCCAGCCTCCACCCCTCCTATTCCCCTCTCTCACACCCCTCGATTCCCCTCTACCCTACCCCTCCATTATTGTAGCATGCGACTACAAGGATGGTAGAAGGCAAACTGGATGGACTATGGGTCTTTTTTCGTCTAGCAATTCCTGTGCTTTTGTTCCTATTAGCTTCTCCCTCGCATATTAATCCGGTTACCTTTTCAATATGTTGATACTTTCTGCTTTTCAACCACAGCTTCTTCCTCCACTGAGTTCCTGGTTCTCACTAGCCTGTGTGAAGAAGTTCCTCCTAAACTTCCTTCTAGGTCTGCCTCTGATTAGCTTATATTTGTGACTTCCCTCCCTCCCTTGTTTTGGTCTCAGCGAAAAGAGGAAACAGCCTATTGATAATGCCCATCTTTATTCAATGCTTTCAGAGTCTTAAACACCTTGATCAGGTCTCCTCTCAAATCGGCTCATCTCCAGGGGGAGAAGCTGATGCTTAATGGTGACTGAGGTTACATTATGATCCTTGGGTTTGGGGACGTTCCCTCTTTTAGAGAGCCACTGACTGTCCTTCCTCAGAAATGTCGGAGTGAGTCCGTCCACCGAGCTTTCCAATCCCAATGATCCACTCTCACCCACAAGCCTCAAATTCCCCACGGTCCCAACCTTTAAGCCTGTCACCTTCAAATTTAAGTTCAAGCAGAAGTTTGGAAATTTATCTTTGGGATGGTTTTTGGAACTGTGGTAAACCGGCCTCCAAAACTGGGACTAACTTCTAAAGACCTTTCTACAATTCTGTGTAATCTTATATTTTCTCAGGTTAAAATAGTCTTAAAGGCTAAATAAAACCAGGTGGAATTTCAGGCTTGATATACATGAGGGTGGGGTAAGGGAATGGTAGAACACGGACTGGCCAACTGGCTAAAGGTACTGGACTGTACAACACTGCGTGCAGGCCTACCATCCACTGCTCGATGTCGCCCCACTTTGTATCCAGCCCATAATATTTCTGAAGGACAGAAAGGGAAAGAGAGTTTAGGAGCAGAATGAGACGGTAGGAGAAAGAGACGGTGGTGAGCATGCGGCACAGCAGAGAGCGAGAGAGTGGTCACCTCCAAGACTGTCTTTCAATTTTAACAGTGATAGCCTGCGCTTACGCAGTGTCTGTCATGCAAAAAAAAAATGATCAGACACACACTGAAAATCCTCTGTCCACACACACACACACACACACACACACACATAGAGTGAGACATGACGGGGGTCGGGTGGGAGGTTCGGCGAGGAGAATTAGACAAGTCTCACCTTCTGAACCTGGTAAATCTACCGGGAGAAGGAAGGAAGAAGGAAAAGAAGAGAAAGAGAAAAGTTAAAGAATAAAGAACATCAGCAGAACTTTAATAAACAGGAGCCATAAACCATGACTGTGGTCCATGTTAAAATCTTGGTAACTATAGTTTCACACTAAGTGTTCACATTGGGAGTTCGCCAATAGTCTGAGAAGCTCCCAAGATGCCCATTGTTCAAAATAAATCTGAATATTAAGCGGAAGGAGAGTGTATGAAAAATGATTCAGTGCCTCATCACATCAAAACGTCTCAAAGAGTTTCACGCGGCAACATTGAGATATTGTGATTATTTCGGGCACCACAACGACAGCCCACACCCTGGAAGAACAACCGATTCACCTCTGGTGAATCTGGAAGAGGACGGGCAGCACACTGGGAGAACATGCTTTTCTTCCACAGGAGCTTAACCTGTAATAGACTCCAGGTTCCCCATGGTCTTAGCTTGCTGGCACCAGCCTGGCACAGTGGTAGCACTCTTACTTCTGAGTCAGACAGTTGTGGGTTCAAGCCCCGCAGCAGGAATTTGAGCTCACAGTCTAAGCTGACTAAGTCAGAGGGGCTGTCCTTCAGATGAGACATTAAACCAAGGTCCCATCCATGCCTTTTCACATTGACATTAAAGATCCCATGGCATTATTCGAAAGAAGGAGAAAGTTTCTCTCGGTGTCCTTGCCAACAATCCACCAGATCAATTTGATAATTCACTTCATGGCTGTTTGTGGGACATTGCTGAAAGCATATAATAATAATAATTATCCTTGCATTTGATATAGCTCTTTTCACGTCTTCTAGACGTCTCAAAGCGCTTGACAGAATACACTGTAAAGTGAATTGACTGTATATTTGTGGGCGAAACACGGCAGCCAATTGCGCAGAGCAGTGTCCCACAAACAGTCATGGATTGAAAATAACCAATTTTTGGGGGGGGTTTTGGAGGGATTATTATTAGATATGTGGAGTAAGGAAACGTGCCCAAAGTTTTGCCCTGCCTGGAATTGAACCGAGGTGTCTCGCGCCTCCAAAATACACAGTGTATATCCAGTGTAGGTCTCTGAGACATCCTACCAACATGAAAGGCGCTATATATACTTTATATATATATATATTCACAGAATATACGCGACATCTCAAAGACACAATAAGGCGCTGTATCAATTGCAAGGATTATTTATTATTTATTTATATCAAATAAGCCCTGAGCTCAGTAACTCAAACTCATCAGTATAAATGAAGAAGAACCTGTTATGTGTCCTCAAGAGGGAGATACACAGAACCACAGAACAGCATCCCTCCAATATAGTAAGGAGTCAGTCTGCTGTCCAATCCAGAGCACAGAAATATAGGTACACAGAGCAATTCCATAGGGAGGGCCTCCTCAGGCAATCAGCCTCAAATGGGGAGGGAGGGAGAGAGGGGAAGATTCCGCTCTCTACCCCCCTCCAAATGGGGTAGTCGTGTGAGGAGGCTCAAAAATTCAACAGGAAGGGAAAAATGCAACTTCAACCAATACCAATAGTGCATGTGCTGCTAATCACCTTCTACAGTACAAGTTGATCTCACTGCTCCCAGCTCCTGTCACTGTGTATCAGCTCATTTAACCTTATTCAAGCCACTCAAAGTAAAGGAGCTTGACCTATAACCTGACCCACTGCAACCTTCCCCTCCTGCCCTCCCAACATCCAGTTACAGAGCAGCATTGCTGGAAAGATGATACACCCTCCCTCCTCCGCCTCATCCCCCCACTCCCCGCCTAAGTAAACATGACTCCTAAACACTCTCAGAGTCTCACTGTGGTTTGAGACTCTAGCATGTCAGGCGGAGACTAATTGCAGCAACTCACCTCCTTCTGCTGTCTCTCCAGTTCTTTCATGCGGATCTCCCTGGCCTCTGCCCGCGCTGCCCGCTTGGCAGCGAGTCTGGCCTCAGCCTGGAATCAAGGGAAGGACATGTTAGAGCAGGGTCTGTGTTCAGCAACCGAGACCTACCTCAAGACAGATAGTTGCCTCTCCCATAGTCACACCTGACGCCCTCACACTGGTTTACCCGCGGGGCTGGGTGCACGATTTGTACTGAATGAGTCGGTGGTAAAGCCAGGCCCAGGACAGGTTGGCTCCCGATCCCTTAATAATAATAATCCTCGTATTTGATATAGCCCCTTATCACATCGTTGAGGCGTCTCAAAGTGCTTCACAGGATATACTATACAGTAGATTGACTATGTATTTTGTGGGCGAAACGTACAGCCCCGTTAGGCACAGGAATGAATGGCCCATAAACAGCGATGGAGTGAGTGACTCAATTTTTTATTTGGGAATATGTTGGCCGGGACACGGGGAGAGAAAAATTCCCTTCTCTTTTTGAATAATGTCGTGGGATCTTTAGCATCCACCTGAACAGGCAGACAGAATCTCAGTTTAACGTCTCATTCAAAGGATGTCACCTCTGACAAAGCAACACCTCCAGCATTGCATTGGACTGTCAGCTTAGACTATGTGATTCAAAGTCCCGATGTGTGGCTTGAACCCACAACCTTCTGACTCAGACGTGAGAATGCTACCAACTGCGCCAGGCTGACACACGTGTCCAATAACCAGACTTGATCAAGTTTAACACTGTGTCTCACAGCTTGTGCCCAGTCCCATCACGCCCCGTTTTATAATAAATACTAATAATTATCCTTGCATTTCATATAGCTCTTTATCATGCCATCAAGACATCGCAGAGCTTTCATACTGTAAAGAGTAGTAACTGTGTTTTTTGTAAGTGAACACAGCAGATAATTTGTGCACAGCAATGTTCCACAAATAGCCATGAAGTGAATGACCAATTTTATCTGGGGGATTGTTGGTCAGCAGGCTGGGAGAAACTCCTTTCTCTTGTGGAGTCCTGTATCTCAGTGGTTAGAGCACTCGCCTCTCAAGCGAAAGATCTGGGTTCAATTCCCGGCAGGGCGAAACCTTGGGCAAGTTTCCTTACTCCACACACCTAATAATCCCTCAAGAAAAAAATAATAAATTGGTCACTTCAATCCACGACTGTTTGTGGGACTCTGCTGCGTGCAATTGGCTGCTGCGTTTCGCCCACCAATATTCAGTCAATTCACTTTACAGTATATTCTGTGAAGCGCTTTGAGACGTCTAGAAGACGTGAAAACCGTTATATCAAATGCAAGGATTATTATTGTGCAAATAGTGCACCTGAACAGGCAGACAGAACCTTAGTGCAATGTTTCATCTGAAGGATGACACCTCTAACAATGCAGACCTTCCCCCAGCACCACATTGAATCAGCCTTCCCGTACTAACACTCCAGGAAGAGGTGGTCCATGGTCTCCTCCGATCTGCAGCCGGTCCAGGGCAGCGGGCTGATTGGACAAGGCATCACGCTTGCATGAATACCCTGATGGGGAGACCTTTCTCATCACTGTGAGTGAGATCAGAATTGAGGAATGAATCACATACCCCTGAATAGAGTTATGCGGAGGAGCTGGTTTCAGCATCTTCCTAGTACACTGAGTAACTGAGCTATTTAGACCTTATCAGCATTCGCGTACAAAGAGCCTTGTGACTGCAGGGTTAATGGGTAACTTGTTGTGTTCAGTGACGAACGGCTAAAGCTGAGCGAGAAGAACGAGGTCAGAGAGAAACCCATTTCTCCTTCTGACTGACAGTAACATACATTTCCATGGTCAGGGATTCACTCCCCACCCACCCCACCGGCACCTTCACCTGAGCACCTAGCACAGGAGAGTAGCTAGGCCAGCCCACCGCGAGATTGGGAGAGACTGTGAGAAATTCTGGTTAACAAACTTTCTCATTGAAAACCAAACTAGAATCATAAGCAAAGTGGATGATGGGGAATGCCAAACGGCTGAACACTGGGATCCAGAGCAGCTTGGAAAGTAGCTCCATGGCAACACTTTGCTCAGGGTTTAAAATACGAGTGAAGATCACAAGATCCGTTTGGATCAGGCCACAGGTCACCCAGACACAGTCCAGTCAGGTCAGTCCTCTCCCCCAAAGGACTCAGCTGGGTATCGCCTATTTTGCGGGTCCTATTTTCCCTAAACTATTCCCAGGATCCCTGTGAACCTAGGAGAAGACAGCGCTGACAAGTGTAGTGCGAGACCCTGCTGTACACAAATTGTCCGCTGGGTTTTCCTGCACATAAACATCCACTACACCTGACAGCAATTCATTTTGATTGTGTTTGCATCAGAAAACAAGACAAAACAAGACATTCGCTCATAAAACACAGTCACTACACTTCAGAGTATATCATGTGAAGCACTTTCAATCGACCTGACCTGAAAGTGCTCCATCAAATGTAAGTATCATTATTATTATAACTACAACTACTGATTCTAAATAGCTGTCGACATTAAGCCCTAGCCTCAGGGGAGCACCGAGGGGAAGGAACAGGTTAATCACATCCACACAATTGGGACTGGTTTGTCTGACACTTGGCCCAGAGATATGACTGAGTCACAAAACAAGGCCAAAACTCCTTGCAGGCTCTGTTCAATAATAAGCCTTGCATTTGATGTAGTGCTTGTCACGTTGCCAAGACTTCTTAAAGCACTTCATAGGATGTACTGTGAAGTGGTCTGACTGCCTATTTGGTGGGCAAAACGCACAGTTCAGTGCAGAGAAGGCACATTAACAAACTCTGAGCACACTCTGCCCACCAGAAAGCTGCTGCCCAGCAGAGAGTGGTCCTTATTTCCAACCAGCATTCAGCAGTGATCGGTGGCTCTATCACTAGTGGAAAACCTTTGAAACGAGATGGTTCACTTGACAGGTCATTCTGTCCAATTAGTCTGGACAGTCCTGACTACCATTACAATGAACAGAACAAAGGCACTTTTGTCATAATCAAGTGAACTAAACATCGAGGGTGTGTATAAAACTAATGGGGAGAAATCCACACCACACCAAGTTCTTTAACACAGACTTAATTCAGAAACCGTTTAAATTCTGGGCGCTCTGTAATTCAGGGTGACCAAAAAGTCGTGATAACTACCCTATTATCTAAAAACAAACAAAAATATCATCATTTCTTTAAGACTTATTAGACATTTTAATGGTATCACAACTTTTTGATCACCTTGTACTATGTTAACACAGTAAACGCAGACACGGTTGAGATTTCTCCCTGATTTACAAGCCTTACTCATGCGTCTGCCATTATTTGTCAGTCATGAATCACCATGTTAATCCACTGCTAATTTCATAATCAAATGAGTTCGGAACTAGTCATCTTTAAACAAATCAGCCTCTGAAGCCTGCTTAGAGCAGAGTCCCACTTTAAAGTTTAGTTCCCACCTTCCTACTGATTGCAGCTCCGAACATAGAGAGGCAGCCCGACTCAGATGGGAGAATGTGAGAAGGAGTCAGCTTGGCTCTGTGTTGAAGTTGGAAACGGTACCAGCCTCTCACTGTACATGAGCTTCAAACCACCTGCATTGTGATCATCTGTTTCCCCGAGTGTGGAGTGAGCTGAAACCTAAACCGAGGATCAACCTCCCTCCCTCGGTTCCTCCTTCCCTCCTTCCCGGAGGGTCACAGGTGACTGGCCCTCAGGAATGTCAGTCATTCAATCGGCTCGAGTGCCAACAATAAAGAGAAGGATGTTTGAAACAGGTTGGTGAAGGTGGCAACTTTTCGAATCGGATACATTTTTCTTGGAAATGTGACCTTGGGACCACCAACATACAGCATCCTCCCAGTTAAGGACTTAATAACAATTCTTTCAGGTCAGGGGGTCTCTTCACAGGATTTATGCTCCTTGGGAAGGAGGTAAGTGGGGTTTCCTTGGAGCTGAACTGGCTCCAAGGTGACATTCCTGGCAATGGAATGTCGGAACGAGTCAGCCCTCTGTAGCTGTCTTGGTAGACCAGCTTCTGGGCGAGGCGGGTCCGCAGTATTCCAAAGCACTGCTGAAGGAAGCACGGACAGCCTCAGCAGGACTCGGAACTGCATATTAGTCACTTAGAGCAGGGACTTTTCCTACTCAGTTCCTATTAACCCTATAAGCTGAACAAGCAGCGGAAGCTTTCAATGGCAAGCTATGTGGTTTTAGCTGGTTAGATTCCAGCAGTGCCCCAACGCACACTTTGGGGTCCAACTTTCACCCAATAGTCTCCAGAAATTAGATAAACAGGATGAATCCCTCCAGGGAGAGATTGTACAGTGCATTTCAAACACAGGGAAAGTTCCATGTGGAGGTGACGCACGTATGTAGAGCTCTCACTATATCTATTCCACCTCCATGGTTGAGATCAGCTAACTCAGTTCCAGCCCGACTCTGAACCTAGGATCTTCAACACAGCACTAGGTAATCAGTGTATTGATTAATCCGTGTAGGTTGGGGGGTGGGGGTGTTCTTATAAGAATCCCCACCACCCCACCCAGCGGAAGAACTTCTGATAGTTCAAAAGATCAGATTTACAGTGTTGAAAGCCTGTGACAGCTGCAAGGTAAGTATGAGTAAATCCGTGTTTACCAGCAAATCTCAGTGTCATATAATACAATCCAAACCACACAGGTCCCTCCACAAGGGGCCTATTAATTTGCAATCCATTATCTGAGAATCTAATCCCCTTGTTAAAGTGTTATGGGGGGGTGGGAGGAAGAGGTTGCTGCATTGTCAGAGGTATCGTCCTTTGGATAAGATGTTACACCGAGGTCCCATTTGCCTGTTCAGGAGGCCGTTAAAGATCCTATGGCTCTATTCGAAAAGAGAAAAGAGTTTCTGCTGGCGTCCTGGCCAACAATCTCCCAAATAAAATCAGTCATTCACATTTCTGTTTTTGGGACACAGAATTGTACGCAAATTGGTTGCCACGTTACCCACAAAACACAGTCACTGCACTTTACAGTAAATCTTGTGAAGTGCTTTGAGATGTTTTAACAACATAAAGTGCTG